AAAGACAGACCTGCAATAGGCATTTTAGCTCTTACGTAATGCATGTTAAACACAATAGCTTTAATTAGACAGCTGGACATGGTATGGTCTTGTCGTTAATTATAAGAGTACAACTGTGAGTGAGCTTAAATTATATATCTCTAGACTTTAAGGTAATTAAAACAATGAATTTACAAATGAAATGAAATGAGGTTTAACCTTATTTAATTTACAACTAGTCCAGCAAGCCTGAGGTTTGATTAACGTCTATAATGAATGAATATGTGTAGTAATAATAAATTAAAATATATAATATTTCACAAGTAATGTAGAGTTATAATTTACTCTATTACAGATCTATAAGCTTGCATACTGATGTTGATGATGTGCGAGATAAAATTATACCGTTTGAATTTTAAAAGTTGACCGAAACACATTAAATGGGATTTTTGAAATATAATTTCAAAAATCCAAGATGGCAGCCAAAATGTCATAATTTTCCATTATTTTGGGAAACATAGATAGGATTTGGATTGTATATTTTGTTCATCAGTGACGTTGATTGTCTGCCATCTTGAATTTATCCAAAATTAATGTTCGGGCCAACATTTGATTTCAGCGACCCCGAGAACACCATCTTCGGCACCATAGAAGCCATATCCTATCTATTTTTCCAAAAATAATGGAAAATCGTGACATTTTAGCACCATCTTGGATTTCCCCCATCTTGGATTTTTGATATATTTTGTGCCCATATTTGAATTCGGCGTTTCCAAAAAAATCTCATGTTACATAGCATGAAAGCTATGTATACCATCATCCGGACATAAGTTTCATTTTTTTTCGTCAATTTTGGCTGCCATCTTGAATTTTCGCCATCTTGGAGTTTTGAAATTAATTTTCAGTCCAATATTTGATTTCAGCAACCCCAAGAACCCAATGTTTGGCACAACACAAGCCATATCCTATCTATACTTCCCAAAATAATAGTAAATCGTGACATTTTGTCCGCCATCTTGGATTTCCACCATCTTGGATTTTTGATATTGTATTTTGTGCCCATATTTGAATTCGGCGTGCAAAAAAATCCCCTGTTACACACCATGAAAGCTATGTAAACCGTGATTCAGACATACTATAGAGGAATTTTCTTCTTTTTTTCGTCAATTTTGGTCGCCATCTTGGATTTCCGCCATCTTGGAATTGTTATGTTATTTTCAGTGCCGATATTTGATTTCGGTGACTCCAAAAATCCCATGTTATACACCATGAAAGCTATGTATACTGCGATCCAGACATAATGTAGTAAGAGGAATTTTCATTTTTCCATCAATTTGGGTAGCCATCTTGGATTTCTGATATATTTTGTGTCCATATTTGAATTCCCCCAAAAATTCAATGTTACAAACCATGAAAACTATGTATACTGCGATGCAGACCTAATATACAGGAATTTTCATTTTTCCTTCAATTTTGGTCGCCATCTTGGATTTCCGCCATCTTGGAGTTTTGAAATTAATTTTCAGTCCAATATTTGATTTCCGCGACCCCAAGAACCCATGTTTGGCACAACACAAGCCATATCCCATCTATACTTCCCAAAATAATAGTAAATCGTGACATTTTGTCCGCCATCTTGGATTTTTGATATTGTATTTTGTGCCCATATTTGAATTCGGCGTGCCCAAAAATCCCATGTTACACACCATGAAAGCTATGTAAACCGCGATCCAGACATAATATAGAGGAATTTTTTTTTTATTTTTTTCCCCCCGTCAATTTTGGTCGCCATCTTGGATTTCCGCCATCTTGGATTTCCGCCATCTTGGAATTGTTATGTTATTTTCAGTGCCCATATTTGATTTCGGAGACTCGAAAAATCCTATGTTATACAGCATGAAAGCTATGTATACCGCGATCCAGACATAATGTAGTACAGAGGAATTTTCATTTTTTCCGTCAATTTTGGTCGCCATCTTGGATTTCCGCCACCTTGGATTTTTGATATTATATTTTGTGTCCATATTTGAATTCCCCCAAAAATCCAATGTTACAAACCATGAAAGCTATGTATACCGCGATGCCGACATAATATTCAGGAATTTCCATTTTTCCTTCATTTTTGGTCGCCATCTTGGATTTCCGCCATCTTGGAATTTTGAGGGAAAAAATTCCAGTGTCCATATATGATTTTGACGACTCTCCACTTTCCATGTAGACACTATGAAAGCTATGTATACCGTGATTCGGACATGATATATAGGAATTTTCATTTTTACCTTCATTTTTGGCCGCAATTTTGAAAAATGGCACTGCACCACTATAAAAATAATTATTTTTTCAAAAATTCTTCTATATTCGTTTTTTGTAGCACATTTCGCATTGGAAAAACCTCAGGCGTTTTATTGAGTTTCAAAATAAATGTTTATTGTCCCATCCCTAGTGAAGGGATGTTGCAAAAATCTAAGTGTCATTTTCCGAGGCCATTTTCTCCTAATTTAGGAAACCAGGGATGTCCAGACCACCCAACTTCAAATCGCAATTTCTCAGAGATGAAACGTCGTAAAGCAATGGTTAATATATCATTGGAAAGCTGAGACCAGCCTCTCTTTAATTATGCTAAAACCTCATTTTTGAACCATTGGCCACTGTGACTCATTTTACTATGCCGGGTCACATTTAATGTCAGAGAAATCTGATGCGATCGAGAGTTGATTAAGGCCTGGATCAGTTAATTAATGTCTAATACTTTAGAAAACATTTCAGGCCTTAACGACCTGCAATAGACCAATTTAGCTCTTGCATAATGCATGTTTAAGTGATCAACGTATTTATCAACTCATACCGTCTATACACCTACCTTGATTAACTACTTAATCTGCTTTGATTGACTGACTTAATCAAAAGCTCAAATATCAAGCCAATCCAGCAATGGCCAGAGAGGGATTTTTCGGGCCATTGCTTCAGGAATACAATGGTAAACAGAGCTGCATCTTTTGGTTTAGTACAAAATTTTTAATAATATCTCTGAAACACTCGGGTTAGGCAAGAACATGATACTAGCAGTAGTCTCATTTTACTTTTACAAGGTTCGTAAAACAATTGTTGAGTTGCCTACCGTGCGTGTTACTAAATTCAATTTCTTGTTCCAACCTTCTGTTTCATAAAAAAAGTAGTCTTGATTATCCTGGCCTGTCAATCGGATGTAGAATGGTCGGTAGACTGGTTAAGCGAGACTAATTTCAAAACAAGGGAACATAACCTTTTTTTTAATAAAAGGTGTCCGGATGATCTGGCCAACACTCGTAACCATCTTTCAGTGTATTATTTATTGATGGTTAAATGGTCATAGCTTATTAAGTACAACATGACTCTTTATTTTGTGACTATAAATGTGCGAAACTGGTTCAAGGCTTGGTACCGGTATATTGATAAATATTGTGGTGTAATTGTCGAGATATTTAGAGATATTTATTTATAGTGGGTCACCCTACTTTTAATTGAAGTAGAATGTTAAAACTTGATGTAGATATTCATTAGGTGAATGTCTTGACTGAGTTCAATGATTAACATTTCAAGCTGAAGCTTAGCAGAGCTAAGCAGTTTCATTGGTTGATGCATTGGGACAAGATAACTTTGATTCTATCTGATAGTGTGGTAACTTATTGTATAGTTGTCCCCCGCCTTTCGAAGAAAGCAGGGGACTATTAAAATGGGTTCGTCCGTCTGTCTGTCCGTCTGTCTGTCCGTCCGTCTGTCTGTCCGTCACACTTTTTGGGACACAATAACTCTCTTCCTAATTGAGCTAGAATGTTCAAACTTGGTGTACGTGTTTATTAGGTCAATGCCTTGATGGAGTTCGAAGATGAGCATTTTCCACTTAGGGTAAGCAGAGATAAGCAATTTGATTGGTTGATGCTTTGGGACACGATAACTCTCTTCCTAATTGGGCTAGAATGTTCAAACTTGGTGTATGTGTTGATTAGGTCAATGCCTTGATGGAGTTCGAAGATGAGCATTTTCCGCTTAGGGTAAGCAGAGATAAGCAATTTGATTGGTTGATGCTTTGGGACACGATAACTTTTAATTGAGCTAGAATGTTCAAACTTGGTGTATGTCTTTATTAGGTCAATGCCTTGATGGAGTTCGAAGATGAGCATTTTCCGCTTAGGGTAAGCAGAGATAAGCAATTTGATTGGTTGATACTTTGGGGCACGATAACTCTCTTCCTAATTGAGCTAGAATGTTCAAACTTGGTGTATGTGTTGATTAGGTCAATGCCTTGATGGAGTTCGAAGATGAGCATTTTCCGCTTAGGGTAAGCAGAGATAAGCAATTTGATTGGTTGATGCTTTGGGACACGATAACTTTAGTTCTAATTAAGTGAGATTGATGAAACTTGGTGTATAGATTTATTATATGAATACCTTAACTAAGTTCGATAATGAACATTTTTTGCTGAGGGTAAGCAGAGTGATAAGCAATTTGATTGGTAGAAACTTTGGAACACAATAACTCTCCTTCTAATTGAGGTAGAATGTTCAAACTTGGCATAGGTGTCTATTAGGTGAATGTTTAAACTTGATGTATATGTAGATGTTCATTAGGTGAATGTCTTGACTGAGTTCAATAATTAACATTTCGAGCTGAAGCTAAGCAGAGCTAATCGATTTCATTTGTCGATGGTTTGGGACAAGATAATCTTGATTCTATCTGATAGAGAGTGATGAAACTTAGTGAAAAAAATAAATGTGCGATTAATTAATATGTGTCATCTATTTATTTTGCAATTTCGGCGGGGGACATCAGCCTCACTGTTGGCTTGTTTATAATCAGTTTGATTGCTTGATACTTTCGAAAAAAATAAATGTGTGGTTAATAAACATGTGTCATCTATTTATTTTGGGATTTCGGCGGGGGACATCAGTCTCAATGTTGACTTGTTTTAGCTTGTTCTCTATCCATCTCTTGAAAAATGTGGGCGTATCTTGCCTGGCAACCACTGGTTTTTATTATTGCAGGAAGAAGATGAGAATATTGCACCTACTGCCAGTGGTGATAATACAGGCTATCAATTTAATGCAGCTTCTACTATTCCTACACAAGGTTTTTCTTTCTAATAATGTTACAACTCAACTTATAGTGGAATGCAAGTACTCAAATTCAACCGGGTTAATACTTGTACATTTTAAGTATTATAAAAACTTTTTACACATTACAAAAGTAGAAACAATTGGTATATTGATGCCATATTAATTTTTATACGCCTAAACTGTCGACAGTCCATCAACAATTTAATTAGCTCATTTAGACAAGACTAGTTTCTATAGACCCATATTTTCATGTGGAGGTATTATACATCCGCTCCTTTCCGTCTGTTCAAATTTGATGTGGAAATTCTACAGGTCACATTTTTCTTCTTTCAGATTTCGATGTAGCTTATAATATATGTTCATATCCTAAAGTCGGGTCAAATTGTGGGACAAATGGATTATTGTCCCTGATTGTATGAAATCGTGTTTTGATCAAGCATAAATTTATTTCAAATTAGGTGTTTAAATTGGAATTGGGGGTCATGAGAAGATGAACCCTATCAACATCAGCGTTACTGAATTATCCCCCCCCCCCCCCAATTTGCCACGAACCACCTGGATGTGATACAGTCCAACATTTTTAAAGGATATATTTCAAATTTTGTGTGAAACATTGGCGTCATCCGAAGGCGAACCCTATTGATATTCAGAGTTCTGTGGCCTTCCGTTCGGCAAACTGTTAATAGTTTTGGATGGATTTATTATATATTTGTGAAGCATTGGGATCACAAGAGGACCAACTCGATCAATATTCACCATTCAGCTACTTTCAATTCTCTAGTAACCCAAACTTTTCCAAAACCTTTCTTAGCATGATAGTGGCAACACTTTTTAACAGATTTCTTTTCAAATTTGCTGTAGAAACGATAGATTAGATAAGGATCCGTATCAAACCTGTTTAAAAACCAAGTTTTCCTTTCCTGGCTATATTTGTTTTCAAGACAAAGCTGCTGTGTGGGCGTTTTTATCTTGGTGCAAATTCATAACTAATACCTAACTTCACAAATAATATCATTGTCCATTACTTGAATTCATTTTTTGTCGATTATTTTATGTTTCTTTTGAAATATTGTAAATTTCTTTATGCATGTGTGAATTAATTGCATGTATTGTCTCAATTTCTTTGTCTATTATTTAAATTGTATTCCTTCTTCTGCTAACTTTCACATTAATTTATATATATTGTTTCAAACTGTAATCAAGTGCTAGTAAATGAATGAGAATTTAATGTAATATTTACAGCCTTCTTGAATTTTTATTAATGGATTGTCTTGAATCCTATCGGTTATTGAAATAAAAGCTGTGTTAAATCCAATCTTAAACTAACTGTAGATGACTAATCTCTCATTGATAAATCGATATATACTCTTCAAAAAGAGTAGGGGGTATTGAAATGCAAATACTATGCAGGTTGTGATATGATAAATAGTCATGGTCTACGGACACTTGACATGCTTTGAGAGTGTTCACAGATGAAGAACTTATCGCCCCAACAGAACCACTGAGCTGCACATGCGACAGGCAATAGCGCCATACACGTGGGAGGGGCTCGTCAAAATTGACACTTCAAGGAAGAGTTGATGAAAACTACCACGTGCTGGTTTATCTATAGATGTTTGCTTTCCTATCGGTTCTTGCATAAGATTTACTGTTTAGCGTATCTTTGCTTTAGTGTGTTACGTTTAATTTGATCGGGAGACGTGTTTGCACCGTCAACCGACAACACTGCAAGAATTGGCCGTGGCACTGCAAGAGGAGTTGGTCAGATTGCCCCAAATCGTGATTGGACCGTTGATTAGGAGCATGTCATGATGAATTGCTGAATGTCTGAGGATTGGTGGAGCAAGTACTCATTATAAGACAAAAATCAAAAACGTCCATTTTCACTTTTGACAGTGTATCTCTTTGCGAGTGAAATGGGGCTGTCGGATAAGCCGCCCATATGAACTTTTTATGTGTAGGCAACTGGCCTGTTATTAACATACACTGGTTACCTCTAATAAAAACAGCAGTGCATTTCCGCAGTTTTGTATTGTTTCTGAATATCCCCTACTTTTTTTGAAGAGTATAATACAAATAAGTTTATTAGGGTTTCACACTGCATAGCTTGTGTGAAACACTATTGTTTTTGTTCAGATTATTCTTATTATTTTTATTCTTTTATTTTGCTTATATCTCAGCAACTACTTGTCACATCGTTATAGGGTCTTCGGTTTTACTGGGAAAGTGGGTGTGACCTAGAGGATACAGCCAGGGCTGTCGGTAATTTTTCACAGTTGATTTGCAGCACTGCTAATCAAAAAGTCCAATTTTGCCAAATTTGATTAGCAAATTTAAAAATTGATTTTCAGTTTCAACGTAAAACACCAAAATAAAAAGATATTACTTTAATTCATAACAAATATGATTAGATTCCATTCTGACTATTTTTAGATTTTTTTAGCACTGCCACAAGTAGGCTACTTGTGACTGTTTGTGAATGTGATGTAGACATTTAGTTAGGTCTTACGTCTGAAGCCAATTCTTGACAGTGACTTCTGAAGCCCCACTCATTTTAGAAATCTTCGTTAGAAAACAATTTTGTCTGCTTTTTATCATGTCGGGCGCACCTCGATTAACTAGACACACGCGATATAAACAATAATATTTTACGGGAATTTTTACTTTGATTTATCATTTTACAATACGTTAGCATGTATTTATTTTTTTATATTTTATTTACAATGCGTGGGGGATACACTGCATTTATTTCTTTCAAAATGAATATGATATAATTACTTGATGTCTCGCAACGTGAGTGGTACTACTTGATTCCCTATTTCCGGTTTAATAGTCCCTATTCATAGAGTTATGTCCCTGTGTTATATATTATTGTTTCTGGGTAGTTCGAGAAGAAAATGTCACACGGAGAATTGAGTTTTGTTTATAAAATTTTATTCAACATTTTATACACATTGAAAGTGTTGAGTAATCCTTCTAGTTTTCAAAATGTGGATTATTCTTGTGCCAATATCCAAAATGACAGGCATATTAATGATTCGCAGTATGTGCGAATCAAAAACGTTAGATTTTAATTTTTGGTTAGCAACGGACAAAATATGTATCGCAAATTGCGCTACGATACTGGTTGTCGGCAGCACTGGATACAGCTATTTTGAACGTTCTGCGACAATGCAAAATGTCCGAAATCACCGAAGTTGTAGTTTTTAAAAATATTGTCTTATTTTTAACAATAGTTAGATTTTAACTTTCAATACATTTTGGCATAGCCTGAGACAGGGCACACAGTTGTGCTACTTTTGATTTTTGATTTTCTGCAAATCTTTGTAGATTTAAGGCGCCAAATTTAGAAAATTTAAGTTTTTACCCAAAAATTTTTTATTTATGAATATTTTTTGATGGTATTTTACACAGGATTAAAGAGTCATCCTACTTAAGCAAAAATGTGAAAACATTTGGGCTCAGTAATTTACATTCGCCCCCATTGGCTAATTTAGTTTTTCGGTCCTAGATTAATTATTTGTTGTTCGATTTGTATAAAACAAAGTTCATATGCTCCGTGGTCTCAATTGTCATGAGGATACAGCTATTTTGAACGTTCTGCGACAATGCAAAATGTCCAAAATCACCGAAGTTGTAGTTTTTAAAAATATTGTCTTATTTTTAACCATAATAGTTGGATTTTAACTTTCAGTACATTTTGGCATAGCCTGAGACAGCGCACACAGTTGTGCTACTTTTGATTTTTGATTTTCTGCAAATCTTTGTAGATTTAAGGCGCCAAATTTAGAAAATTTAAGTTTTTACCCAAAAAATTTTTATTTATGAATATTTTTTGATGGTATTTTACACAGGATTAAAGAGTCATCCTACTTAAGCAAAAATGTGAAAACATTTGGGCTCAGTAATTTACATTCGCCCCCATTGGCTAATTTAGTTTTTCGGTCCTAGATTAATTATTTGTTGTTCGATTTGTATAAAACAAAGTTCATATGCTCCGTGGTCTCAATTGTCTTTTTTTTTTTTTGTTACCGATAGTTTCCTGTCAACACCGGAAGTGACATAATTTTACCAAAAACTACAATTTTGACAGTTCGGAACCACTTTTTGAAAGCAAATAATATTTTTTCAAAATCTGATATAATTAAAAGGGTGCACCCTGTAAAGGTGCACATAATCTTGAGCTCAGATTTTTTAATATCGATTTCATTTTCGTGCAATTTTGATTAAAAAGTGAAAAAAGCTGTAAAATTGCGCTATTTACAACTCATTCAGCTCGTTCATATTTTAAAATATTTCTTTTTAACTTTCAAAACCTCGTAGCATTAATCCATACGAAGAGAATTTATGCGAAAATTAGTTTGTAATATGCCAATCTTGACTAGGTCAAACCAATTTAACATTTTCACTGTCACCGGAAATGACGTTATTTCAGCAGAAACTGTATTTTTAACCTTAAAATTACCTATTTTATTCAAATGAGTGTTATTTGTATTCTTTATAAAATTATGATATTTGGTTCCCATCAACAAATGGAATGAACCCATACGATCCTACAGATACCACAAAAAGGTTTCTAACTTGTACGGTTGCAGAGAAATAGACGATTTTCCACCAGTCACTTTTCAAGGTTTTTAGTCTATAAAAGTGTCAGTTATTATTTGATTTACATAAAATTTTCACCATATGAAGTCTAATTAAACATTTTCAATATCACCGGAAGTAATGTCATTTTGGCAAAAACTGTATTTTTAGCCTTCAAAACAGATATTTTATTCAAATGAGTCGGATTTGTCATGTATCAGGATCACTTACATGTAACAAATGTATAAAATGAATAGATTGCTGGATTTGGTTGATTCTGCGTCATTTCATGATCATGTATGCAATGCTTATGTGGAAACATGTTTAACGGTTTCATTGGTACTGGAACTGACATAAGTTCAAGGGTAACGACGCACCAGAAGTGACATAAGTTCAAGGGTAATGTGGCACCGGTGAAACCCGTCATTACTTCATCGCAGTACTAGTTCTTATTATTATTATTCTTTTTCTATTTTGATTAGATCTCAGCAACTGCTTGTCGCATCGTTACGATTTCTTCAATTTTACTGGGAAAGTGGGTGTGACTTAGAGCGTAAAGCTATTTTGAACGTTCTGCAACAATGCGAAATGTCCGAAATCACCGAAGCTATCGATTTTATATGCCCACATTGAAATGTGGTTGTATATTGTCGTCGCCCCCGTCCGTCCATCCGTCGTCCACAATTGCTTGTGGACGCTCTAGAGGCTAAAATTAATATCTGATTGACTTTAAATTTATACACAGTGTTTAAGGTCATGAGACGAAGAAGCCTATAGATTTTCAGTGATTTCTGATAATTACAGTCAGTTATGGTCCTTGATCACTTCAAAAAATCTTGTGGGCGCTCTAGAGGCTAAATTTAGTATCCGATCGACTTTAAATTTATACAGTGTTTAAGGTCATGAGACGAAAAAGCCTATTGATTTTCAGCAATTTCCGATAATTACTGACAGAGTTATGGCCCTTGATCACCTCAAAAAATCTTGTGGCCGCACTAGAGGCCAATGTTAATATCTGTTTGACTTTAAATTTATACACAGTGTTTAAGTTCATGAGACGAAGAATCCTATTGATTTTCAACGATTTCTGATAATTACTGCCAGAGATATGGCCCTTGATCACTTTGAAAAATCTTGTGGACGCTCTAGAGGCCAAAGTTAATATCTGATTGACTTTAAATTTATACACAGTGTTTAAGGTCATGAGACGAAGAATCCTATTGATTTTCAACGATTTCCGATAATTACTACCAAAGTTATGGCCCTTGATCACGTTGAGAAATCTTGTGACTCTCTAGAGGCTAAAGTTATCATCATTATCTCTGCACCCACTTTCCCAGTAAAACCGAAGACATCGAATTGATCCGACAAGTAGTTTCTGAGATGCTCAAGTGGAAAAAAAAAATAATAAGAACTAGAACTGCAATGCAGTAATGACGGGTTTCACCGGTGCCACGTTACCCTAAACATATGTGATTTCCGGTACCAATGAAACCATTAAACAGGTTTCCACATAAGCATTGCACACATCAAATAAAATGGACGCCGAATCAACCAAATCCAGCAATATCAATTCATTTTATACATTTGTCACATGTAAGTGTACAGTACTTCCGGTGATAATGAAAATGTTAAATTGGTTTATGAAATCAGAAATAGCATCATCACATGGTGAAAATTTTATGTAAATCGAATAATAATTGCCACCTTTATAGACCAAAAACCTTGA